TCACGCCATACAGTGACTGAAACAGTTAAAACATAAAAGTATTTCCCGCAAGACGACTTTGCCCGTATGACGTTCCCTTAACATTAATTTTATAGTGACATATAAAACAGACACAATGGTAATTAGATTAAATAGAAAACCAAAATAAAAACAAACATTTGACTCTAAAATGTACACAATCTATACTTCCAAGAATATAGTAAAGGATAACAAAAGTATTAAACTATACATTTTATAAAAGATACTACCAAATATGATTTCATCTGAATTACGATTTGTCAGAGAACAAACATTTATTCCATTTTACACTTTTGTTACCTTCTACTTTTTTAGTTACTATAATATTACTTTCCAATAATTTCAGTTGCAAACAACAGTTAGATAAATTAAGTGCATTCAAAAAATATGTGTGTGTGTATGTAAAGTCATTTTACTATTAATATATTAAAAACGGAACATTTAACACGAGGAAAGCATTAGCAGAGAAATTTAAATGGAGGTGCTAATTTTTGCAAACATTAGTCTATAGTATCTAAGAATATGCTTAAAGTGCGCATAATTTATAAAAGCATTGTGACTTATCAGGTGAAACTATTAAAATAATCAGTTGTTATCGCTCTATTGTTCATTCATCAAACCTATCAGTCAATGTACAATAGAAGTGTTACTACATGAAATCTGCGGTCATTCTCATCATAAAAAATTAGGTATAGTACTATAGAGAAGGCTCAAATATTTTTCACACGAGTACGTTGACAATTAAAATTAAATGTTATTAATAAAATCACAAGTTATACTCGAAATTTCATGATAAATTAATTATATATTTTTTATCGGTATACATCCAAACTGCAATAAATTGTTATGTCAAATTGTCAAAATTACATTAGTCACGCGGAAAAAAATTAACAATAATTTAATCATCGAAATTTTAAACAAAAATATATAAATTGTTCTATTTAAAATTCTTTACAACTTATCATACATAGTTAATATTATTAATTTAGAAATTAATATTGATATAAATTTACTAGTAATATTTAAGGTGTATTGGTAATTTATAACGCTATAACTATTTTCAACTATATAAGAAGTTAAGATTTAAACATATGTAAGGGACTTGGTAGTGTAACTACAAATAAGCTAAAATTATTCAACAAAATAGTAAAGACAGTGTCAACTGTTATAAATACAGTAACAGATTTTTTGTATATACCCATTTTTATTATGTTTAAATGACACGTGCTGGCCATACCTAAATATATCTTTCAATATAATAAGTACCACCTTTTTCGATAATATAATAATTAAAAGCTAGTGTCTGTACAATGTATTCTTCTTAACGCGACAGCTTGTTGGTAGAATACCCGAGTAACAAGCAAACACTCACAAATTGAAAATAATTAAAAAAAAAATCTAAATGGTAATAAGCAGTAGGTCGTCCAAACGTGGAATTTCGTTTGTTGTTTTTATGTTTTTAGCGTTGATAATGATAAAATAGTTCCCTATGTACGTATCCACGATTTTTTAATCATTTTTCGTGGCTTCTCGAGTTCAATGTTTTTTATTTTTTATTAAAATACTATACAAATGAAATTTACTGTCATACTATACCTACCCAAAATTGAGAAGTCTTCAACATAGTTGTACTTACCTCGAAAAATATTATTTTATGTAACAAATCGCTATATTTTAATTAACAATAATTGGTAATTATTAATCACGTTCATTTAAGGTAAATATTTTAAAAGACAAGTAACATACGTAAAATTTCAGTAGTTTAATTATAAAGTATGGTCGCCATGTTCTGGAAGAAACAATTTAAGCTTGTGTAAGCTTAAGTGTTATCATATACCATAGTTCAACTGATTTCTTCAAGACAACCACTTTTTGTGAAAAAAAGAAGAAATTTTAATTTCATAATAATTAAAAAAAAAAAAAAAAGCTCATCTAAAATTAGACGGTCAAGTACCTATTTATTTCATAACTAAGATTTATAGATATATGTATAAATTAATTCAAAATTACTCTTACACATAATATCAAGAGAAATTGACTTTTAATCAATCATTATTTAAATAATATTTTTAACGTTAACTCTTGTTCAGATCAACTGAACATTAAGGCTATATAAAATTTACCAGTGGTAATAATTTTTTACATGAAAAATCCATATTTCAATTCATGTAACAATAACTATGAATCAATAATAAGTGTAACGGGTTTTATGCGAGAAAATGTTTGGTCGCTTCGATTATTACTTAAGGTAATTTTATTGATGATGCGTTTTACTTGAACCCTTTAAAAAATAGTACATTAATACTATTGTATTTTAACACAAGAGTAACGAAATCATTTACCATAATATTATTGTTACGAATGACGTTAAATACAGAATTATTTTTGTCAACGTCTAGATACGCATTTATTTTTAATTATCAAAGTACTTGCGAATAAAAGTTTTTACATAAATCGACTTCTGCATTTAGTAGTATTTCTTATCAAATACACCTGTTGTCCATTCTGTTTCGTATGACGTACGCCAATGCGAAGTGTACACAAAAGCGAGCCACACGATCAGACACTGGCGGTGACAGAGAGAGAAAGATGCGAGGAAAAGGGCAACCATCTGTTCGACTCAACAGGACTTATTTAAGAGGCCAGGGCACGAACGACTCTGTGGGAAAATCGTTTTAACCGCAAAACTGTCAATACCCGATGGAATGTTTGAAAAACACGACCTAGGGCAAATTCGGGCGGCCAATAATCGGCAAAAGTGCTGAGAAAAGTGCGATTTGCGCACACAGAAGTGCTCTAGCGCGTGTCCTTGTCAATTACGTGGGTTAATTTTTTTTACCGCGTGTAGGCAGCCACACTGGTTTCAAGTGTAACACACTTCGGGTACTTCCCGTGAGCCGCCGGTGGGCGTCTTCCACACATAATAATTATTCTTCTGTTACTGTGTGTGCGGCTGAGCCCGTGGCCGAGACAACGTCCGGTGGGCGACAATAATATTGGGCGCACGAACGAGTGCGACTGGCCATCGATGCGCCGTGCATTGGGAAATAAAACAAAATTAAACGGAACAACGTGGGCCGTCATAAACACAAACACACCCAAAATTTCGAAAATCAAATAAAAACAATAAATGGAAAAGAAAAAAAAAATACTGCGGAGTGGCTTTCGATTTTCAACAGCGGTCAATGGTCATCCGCTGAAATACAGCAGATGGTCTTTAAAAATAGCCAGCGGCCACAAAATGAAGCTAATAACTTCACATGTTCAGTAATTTTATTGTATAACGCGAAAGCGTTTTCAATTATTCGATTAATAAAGTACATAGTTTTTACAAATGTCATTTTTTATATATATATAAATCCGTTTATTAATATTTGTCTAATAATAATAATAATATAACTCTATTAGAATATAAATTCAGTTTCGTCGATAAATAAACATAATAGGTATCATCACAGCCTTGATAACAATGGTCTATAATATATTCGTATTTATATTGGATCATTCGATTTCGGACTAGTAGACCAAACGCATTATATTTATTTGGATTTAAATAACATATGATTGACTTAACATACTATTTACAAAAGGCACTGTTTCGTAATTTATTGGAATTCTCTAAAAATTTATTACAACATTATAATATACGTATTTCAATTATATATATATATATTATGTACAGTAATGACAATTTTTTTTTTTTTTTTACATAAAAAATATAAACTTTTTCATGAATATCCATTTATAATACAAAATTAGAGAGCTTATGTTTTTAATTTAAAATGTTTAACGGTCAATAAATTATATTGTCCTTTCGTCGTGTGTGCCGCTTTTAGTTCCCACGGCCTGAGCCGATCATTCCTACATTACGGCCATTTAAAGAACCCAGGCACGTATACCCTATAACCACTGTCCGGTTTTCCGATATTGTGGCTGCGAAATTCTCACGATAAAAATGGTTATTTTGTACACAACCCCAGGTGAGATTTTCTACGTGGAAAACGCGAACCGGTTGGATGCGTAGGCCTCACCGCGGATTTGAGAGCAATACAAAACACCACCTACGCGCCCCCCACAAACCCACGCGGGCGCCGCTGACCGTCTTAAAGGAATAATAACAATAATTGGTCAATCAGCGTCCTCTCTACTCTCTTCTACCGTTACACTCCTTCCGGGCACGTGACATCACTTATAAATAAAAAATACATTTTGTAACAATTCTATGGTTTCATAATAGTTTTCAACTTTGGAATGCAATAACAATATAAAACAAAATACATGCAAAAAAAAGCTGGCAGCTAATACTGATTTAATTTAAATAAGACCAAATAATTTTTATAAATTTTAATTTATTAATGAAATGTGTGGGCCATCTCTTCATAACCTCCATAAGCCTAAATTAATATCTCAACATTTTATTATTACTTTTTTGTAATGTGTTTCAGTATGTAAGTAACTAAAGCTAAAGCTACACAGCGATACAAAAAACAAATTTAAAATAACATAAAGCGAAAACACACACTCAATGTATAATATTCAATAGCAATGGATAATATAATTTAAATATATCTCTGGACGGATAGGAGGTTGTCTACATTGTAGATACAATAATATTCAATTGAACTCCACTGACAACAACATACATGTTTAGAATTTTTGGTAAACTAATAGAACACTATATGAAATTTAGACAACTTATTATCAGTCTATTAAAAAAAAAAAAAACATGCAGTACTATCAATGATTAGTTCAATTGAACATTACCGTTGATTATGTGAATGGGATGCCATATGAGGATATTGGTGTAGAGGCAATGGGGATGTGCACTGCTGCTGATAATTGGCTGTGTGCATTAGTGGACTGGGACTAGAAGAAGGTATAAGATGGGCCGGTGGGGACATAGCCATAATATGTTGGGGATGGTGTTGCTGGTGGTGCGGATGATGGACAGGACTCTGTTGGCCGTACACAAACTGCCTTACTTTGGAATCGTGGTCATCTCCAATATTGTATGATAAATCTGTTTCTTCAAAACCAGTAGCAGACATCCTTTGATCACCAGAATTAGCACCGGACGATGATGGACATGGATCTGGTGAGTTTAAACAAGTCTGAATTAGCGCTTTACCGGCTTCAGATGTAATCATGGGTTGTAATTTGCGAGTAGCAAATGTGTATACATGGCCTGTTTCAGAAGCCACTAACAGCATTACTTGAGTACCAGTCAAAGTGGATAGCTCATATGCCTAGAAATAAATAAACTAGTTTAAAAACTAAAAAATATTATCATATTGTGGTATTTTTTTAAATAATTTTACATTAAAATAATATAATAATAAAAAGAATTTTATGATAAAAAACCTTATACTAATTTTGATTAAAATCTATGATAAATTCACCATGGAAAATTTTAATAAAATTACACTCATATTGTGTGATTCTACTAGAAAATATGTTTTTTATTTTGAATTTATATTACTTTACAATAACTTCTAAGTTTACTCATCATTTTTTTAGAAAAATATTACTTAATCAGTATTGAATGGGCTACAGTCAAATTGTTTAATGGTTTAAATTAACCACATTAAGATAATTGTTTATAATTTTCTTTTGTAATCATGATTACAATACTGAAATAATATATTTAGGAATTTGTTTAACATTTAAAATTGTCAAAACTTAAGGTTTCATCTATTGATGTTATTTTCAAATAAAATGAATAGTTTTTTTTATTAAAAATGAATTTATTTTTATGTTCACAAAATTCAATTTATAATAGAAAAAGTAAGAAATTATTAATACAGATTTAATGTATATATTTTTTCACAAATAAATAGTTATATAATACTATTTATTTCAACGTAATTTTTTTTTGTGTTGAAATAATTTGAAAGTTAACCTAAGTGTGATATTGTTTAAGACTGAACCTCTTTTTAGACGTTAAGTCAATTGTTATATTGATAAAGTAGATAATTATACTTCTTATTTTACACATTCTGACTATTTAATAAGGTAATTTAAAATTTTAAATTATCTGTTATGATTAAATGTACAAAAAACTCACTTTTTTCATTATTCCAGTCTTTCTCTTGGAAAATGTTGTATATCTACGAAGCTTATTTTCAATATACTCCATCTTAATTTTTACACGGCCTTTTGTCTTCTTGCCATTGGATGGTGAAACATCCTTGGCAGTAGGCGGCGAAAAGTCTTCAACTAACCGGTGATGATCATTTGGATCATAGCACATATTACTGCCAGGGCCAAGGGTGCGCTTGATGCCCCGTTGATGCACTCCGGTAGTATTTCCAGAACCGCATCCCATCATGGGGGGAGTTCTAGATGTTGATGGACGTTGCTGTGTCCCTCCGCCGTTGTTGTAAATGTCCGACGGGTCCAACAGCGACATGTTCGACGCGTAACCCATGCCGAATCTGTTGTCGCGGCCGCCACCGCCAGACGCACTGTCCATCGCTGTCCACCTCATGCACTTGACCGACTGTAACTGGTCATCCGCACAACCCACACACGCGAAAACTACAATCACAGTTCGACGGAACGCACTCGGAGTGTGTTTTGAAAGTTTAAACTTTAAAAAAATAATAAATTAACGTCACTGATAACAACGGCCGCGACACTGATAACGAGCTCGCACTGTCGGCGAAGACAGCGCTGTTGCTGCTAATACTGTATGAAGATACGAACGATTATTGTTTTTCGCCCTGTGTCGAGTAATTCGACCTGAGACCGTATAATAATAGATCTTCTCGGCGCATGTGCCGCGCGTTTTTTCTATTTTTAAATTAATTAACGCGAGACACAGTTGAACATATTTTCTCTTTTCACAAATATTGCCATAAACGTGGGTCGATGCACTAGAACGATGTATTTTTCGACATGTTGCGGCCGCACAAGTGAAATGTATTTTAAATTTAACGAACCGTCGCCGATTAAAATTATTCAAATACACACGAGCTAGTGTTTGAATAACTTTAACACGATAATGAATTGAAAAAATCTACGCAAGTCTAAAGATTTGAAAATAACAGTCACGGAATAATCTTCAAAACGTAGGTCCGGTAATAATGCGGCTCGACGATTTTAATCTCAGCTCGTGTTGATCATCAGTCTGTCCGTCAGCTGAGTTGCAGCACATGCGATATGTCCATGTGAAGACGACGGAATGGGAAGTGTATTGCACACCGTGTGTGTGTACATCGGTCTGTTGTGACCGGCCGTTACGTTCGCGTGTGTGTGTGTTGGCGGTTGATCCCTCTCCCGGACTGCTCACGGCCTCCCCCGCCACCGCTTGCCATATTTAGAAGAGTTGCTCGAGCCAAATTAGGCAAACTTGACCATATACGGAGCGGCTGTAGTACCTCCCCAATAATTTTAAGATCCACCTTCCGGCGAATAATGCGCTTCCTATAGCAATTCGCCATATTTTTTTATACGCTAAAATTAATTGCACGTGGAAACCCGATTTACGTGATTATTACACCTGTTAACATTTTTTATACGCACCTTTCTATCAATTTCTTAATCACCCCATAAAGCTTCACTTACATTTGAACCAAGTTCTTTTTAAATAAATATTGAACTGAGATCATGATTTCTACAAAAATAAAATAAAAATTATTATTTATAATCCTGAACACCTCCTGTCTAACCAAAAATACCACACTAAATAGATGATATTAATTTAAAATGTTAATGACTATTTAAAACTCTTCATACACATACGTGGGTTTTTGTCCAAGACCTCTATTAAATAGTTTTTGCAATAATTATAAACTTAACTCAAAATAAAATAACAGTGCGTAGTGTGTTCCGAATTAATTTCTGGTGAAAACATAGTTTGATGAATTTTCAAGTTACACGTATCACCACATTTATAGTATACAAAATGAAAATTAGATTTTAAATAATTAATAATTATACGTTGAAAATATGATATCAAAGTTAATTTCTGGAGGCACTTTGCTCGAGGAAACGGCAACAAGAACCCTCGCCTTGGACGACATTTCAAGGGCGCAATATTTTCGATAAGTTTTAATGTTTTGGAAGACAAATAAGGTGTTTTAGAATATTTTAATAGAAATTGTTGAGAGGCGTCAAATTTATCGTCATTTTTATACATTCGTTGAATTTTTTGTTCATTTAAACCAAAAATATAAAGAATAAATTACAAAAGAGGGAATTACTATACTCCCAGTGTTTTCTCATGATTACTAATGCACTATACATAGATTATTATAATTTTGGATTATTCTATAATATTAAAATTCAATAATATAATAGCTAATTCTTGGCGTTATAGTATGAGAAATTTAAACAGATTAAGACAAATTTAAAATGAGTTTGTGCCAATATTTTCATGTAGATGCAGTTTTATAAAATTAGATTTGAATATATGTACCTACTTATACTTTATAGCCATAACAATGAATATACACAAAAAATTGACTACATGAAATTTCTTTTTTTTATTACAATGTGTTTTATGTTTTTTGCTTAGATGTCTAGGATTTAAAAAAATGCTCGTACAATTAAGATTCCAGTTATCCAATTTTTAGTTATGTGAAAAAGTAACCTTAAGATCGCAAAGTCCTTTTCATATAAAATTATATTTTTCGAGTAGATTGGTATATTATTATTTAATAAATAAATTAAAATTTATTTAAGTAAATAAACCAAGATGATTTTTAATTGTTGTACAATCAGTAAACATCACTTTAGTAAAGATATAATTAAATTTATCAAGCTACATGATCCAATAACTCTGGTCTTCAGTGCTCATGTTTATAAATACATACCAAAAATAGACTTGTGGTTGTGGTTACATAGCGCTGGCAACAATCATTTTTATACTTACTCTGGTTTCTTTCTAGCCATATTCAAAATAACTTTTCATTGTTCACAATTTTATTTTCATTAGCTCATTTATTAGGTACCTAATTACACTACTATATGAATAATGACATTATGTGTTTATATTATTATTTAAAACTTTAAGAACCCCTAGATCATTTTTTTTATTTAAAATGTTTTTTAGGAACAATATTTTAATCGTTATTTGATGTAATTTATAGTAAAAAGGTATTTTCCAATTATTAATGAAATTTATGTTATAAAAAAATAAATACAGTCTTGCCTAATTATTTTTCTACGGTCGAAACTCTCGAAAGTTCATTTGGACGTGAACTGGAATTTATGGCCTACTGCCATCACAGATGTCAATTCGTATATCATCTTTTTTGAAAACTAAAATAACTCTTTATAACCTCGATATGTGTATAACCTATATATGATACTACATATTTAATAACAATAAAATTTGTAGTGTATTATTGTATTTATATTTCTCATGTATATATATTTATATGCCATAGTGTTTATATTTTTGTTTGTAAGTAACTATATATTAAAGCAATGGCACATTTTAGGGGGTTCATAGCCTATTTTTAACTTACAGAAAATATTTTTTAAATTTCTGGTTTTAAATCTGAAAAGTTTTGTTATTTCACCATATAAACCAAAAATATTAAAAATAAACATCAGTTGTTCATTATTTACTTTGATCGCTTGTACTATTTCGCACACGTTATAAAAAAGCAAAGATAATGTGAGATTCAATAAATTGAAATAATGAATACCCTAAAAAGAGCAAAAAGTAATATTGATTTTATGTTTATTTACTGTTATTTACTTATTTATTATTTACTGATTAAATTTCACAATGACATTATGCGAATTGGATAAATTATATAAATTTTTTTTTTATTTAAGAAAACATTGAGCTTGTTCCTTTTTTGGATTTAATATCATAAATAGTATTTAATTGGATATTTTTTTTTCAGAGATGGTTTTAAAATGTTTTCGTAGAGCTATTACCTCTGTAACAAAGAAAAAAAGTAATAAAACATTAAAATTATAGAAATAATTTATAAACTTTGATTTATGAATAAACGTATAAAAGAAATTTTAGTTTATATGATATATACATTTTTTTTTATCAGCTATTACAGATTTCTAAACTTAGTTTTTAAATGCTTTAGTTCACTAAAGACTGTCAAAATAATGAAATGGCTAACGGATCTAAATAATTATGGTTTACTAAACCATAAAAGAGAAATATTTTTTGCAGTAAAATCTTTTTTTCTAAAATACTATTACATGAAATTTTTGTATTTCAAGATAGATAATTACTAAAATTATATTTAATTATGTAATCAAATTTTGTTTTATAATGTAAAATATCAACTATAATTGCTTCATTATTTGATACTTAAACATTTATCAAAATAATAATAAATTATGTAGTTAAAAATTTTTAAAAATCTAATGTTTTAAACTTTGGTAATACGTGTTTAGGCAATCATTCTAAAGTAGAAATGTACGAAGATTCTCTAATTCGTGACATTGATCAACTGGCTAATTTTGTACAGTACCATTCAGATAATGCACCAAAATCGGAAGTTCCAGAAATTATCCATCCAATTAACCGAAGTTTTACATTCTGTATAAAAAAATCAGGTTAACCATTTACGTAAACTTAATCAGGAAAGCTAGGGGTCTTAGACACCTCAAATTCTGTCATAGCCTACCCTTCAAAAATATTATATGTATTTATTTTTATTAAGAATATTTTTAAGGAGAAAAAAAATTATGTTAGATCTCCCAAAAATATTTTGTCTATGGATTCATAGAGAAAAATTGTGCAGATAATTATATTAGCATAATAAAAGAGAAAGTCAGTTTAGTTAAAGTTTAGTTTAGTATAAAGTCAGTTTAGTTTTATTTTCAAAAGCCTAGAACAGGAAAAAATAAAATATTATAACATATGCATTGATTTTATCATTAAGAGTTTGAATAAACAACTTGTTAATCATTCTATAAATGGTAATTATTTCGAGTCGTTCTTGAATCCCTCGTGTAAAAATATAAAAACTAAAAAATTCGTAAGGTTTTTGTTAGATTAGCCGAATCATGCTGTTGGAAACGCGTTGTCTTTTTACAACGGTATATCTGATCACGTTTCGTATAGGATCTCCCATCTTTTTAACACAAGAATTAACTTAATAACTAATGATATTTAATATAAATTTTAAAATGATGTTTTAGAAAATAATAGTATTTCGAATGAGCAAACTGTTTCAGTAAAACAGGATCAGCAGAAAGAAAATGAAAAATTACCGAAATTGTTCGGCAATAACAAAACGGTCTGTAAAACTTAAATACATAAAAGAATAAATACCCAGTGTCTTTAAGAACTCTTGAATAATTTATAGATGTCTGAAGAAACTCCTAATAGTGTTTCGGAGCCATCTGTCGTGAAGACTTCAACGGCAATCATGAATAATGGCGACAGTATAATATTAAAACGGAATACTGCCAAATCATATAAAATGGCAAAAGAACGTATTCCTAGTTTTTTTCTTATCTTGCCACCAGTCTGTAAGTTAATACTGAGATGTTTCTAGTGAGTTTTCTTTAAAAAAATTTTTATTTTTAAATTGGTTCAGCTAAAAACGTTAAAAAATATTCAAATAATCCAAAGAAATCCACGAATATGGTTAACAGCGATACTAAAAAAATTAATCGGAAAATTACCAATCTATTAAAGAAGACAGAAGAACGCCTTCCAGGTTTTTTTTTTTATCCAACGACCCTACAACGGAATATTGAGATGTTGATTTTTCAATAGGCTCACCTAAGTATAAAAACGTTAAAATCCACAAAAAAAAGCCAAGAAAACCTATGAAATGTGATATACGTCACATTTCACATAAAAAATGTATATTTTTATTATTGAAAACTAAAAACAAATTTTATGTACAAAAATAATGCACATATGAAGAAGGTTCACAGCTTTTTTTACTTGATATATTTTTTTCTTAGTTATAATTTTGTTGCCTATAGGTATAACTTTATTCTTTAGGCTTTTTAAAAAAGTGTAATATAATCATAAAAGTTGACAATAACATCATTTTTACTCTTAATATAGCAAAAAAAGTATGATGAAATAACAAATTATTTTGTTTCATCTGAGAACAATTATTTTTTCCTACAAAATCAAAATACATTCTTCTCATTGTGAGTGTCATATGCAACTTAAAAAAAACATATGTTTCAACACCGCATTTATATAATAATAATAATTTGGGTATTTACTATTTGGTAATTATTTTGCAAAAGTGCATTTTTTTTTATTAAAACTCTGTTAATTATTTATTACTTATGGATTTGTTTATAAATAAATAATTTAAATATTTGTTAATTTTCGTTTACAAATAATTATTTGTTTAAGATGATAATGTCTAGTATCATAGGTCTATATCTAGTCATAATGTGTAATTGTACAAAAAAAAACAGTAATAGTTGAATACAAAATTTAATCAATTATGAAACATGATTTGATTTAGACTTTAATTCATCCATTGATTGTATTGTTTGATTATTATTATATACATAATATATTATTTACTAATACTTAATTATTTTAAATAATAATTATAAACGTCATTTTTAAAAAATAAATAAATAATAATAATAAGCTTAATTAAATTCAAATGTAGTATATCCGTACCCGTTTTGGTATTTTGAAGTAGGTCCTTATTGAAAGATAATCTGAATAAATTACTAAATTTCATAATTTAAGTATCATCACTTTTTTAATGAAACAAATAACTTAGTAAGTAAAATTTTATATGAACACAGCATTTTTTAAATTCAACTAACTCTAACACGTTTATTTTGGGGTTTGTCAATTAATTAATATGCGTTAGGTGTTAATTAAATATAATTTTAAGACACTATTTATTTTTTTCTTAAACACTTCATAAACAAAGTTTTTCTGAAATATTTCTTTTATCGTGCATTTTTTTATGTGTCTAGTATTACAGATACTGTTGATAATTACAATCTATAATAAATAGCAATATTTACAGACAGATATCAATTATACTTACTCATGTCACATTACCTGCCGTTTGCAAAAACGACCTCGACGTGACATGCTGGCGGATTCTTTAAAGATTTACGATGTAGGCACGGCAGTTGAGTTAGTGTGTAATGTGTAGGTTGAGATTATTGTGCGTGAACTCGATCATTTTCAAGAAATAATTACACTTTTGTAATATAAAAACCTACACATTAAGACTCGTCCACTATTATCACAACGAGGAAAAAACAAAACTAATTTAAAACGTCCATAACTTATTTTTACCTGTAGATTGATACGATTAATTAATAATTCATCATTAACAAGGATATACTTACATTGTGTTCTGTATGGATTACTTACAAGCGAATTCTTACTCGTACAACATTGAGACGACAATAAGTCTGCCACTACCCTGATGTTATATATTTATAAAACGTGTTTTATTACATTACGATTTTTTTAATCAATTGTTTCTTTCATCAAACTACAAAAATGGTTATGCCTAGCGACCAACTGTCTGTCGTTGACGAGTATGTTTCGCGCAAAACTATTGTAGACTTTATGAAAATGCATGCTAAGATCAGCCAAACAATATTACATTACTTAAGTTACAAGGTACTGAGTAGAACAACCCCACTGAGGTTCAGTGGCCTTAAACGTGTCTTGAATGTAGAATTTAAACATGCATTTAGAAACATTTTAAACTGTAAAAGATTAAATTGTCTGTGAAACTAGTATGATCGGATTAAACAAAGTAAATGTAAATCGGTGCTAATTATGTCGCTAATTTTGAATTAAAATGTTTTGCCAAATTGTAATAAAAAAATAGATGGCTTTTAACTCAATATTAAATGAAACATCGCGTCCATTTTCGAAAATCGCTATAACTATTTTCGATATAATATATATGTATATATTATCATTGTCTCCCTAAGATTGTCAGGGGGCTTTTAAAAAGACAGGGAGCTGGATTATACCTGAATTCAACACTGCATGTTACTAATAATATAGTGTTGCATTTATTAGCAAATAGCATCTTTACTTTTAGCTTCGATGCGAAGCGGAGAAGGTATTAATTTTACTATGATGTGTTTTTTTTTTTTTTTTTTTTTTTTTTTTATGTCTGTTGCCACTTTTTCTCAGCTCTCACTGGACCGATTTTTTTCAAAAATACGTCAAAAGATCACAAATCGTATCTAGTTGAAGACATTACCCTTAAAAATTGAAAAAAATTACCTCGTTCCCAGCAAATGGGGGAAATATCCAAAAAAATTACAAATTTAAAAATCGCTAATTTTCGAATTTTTTTCACTTTTTTTTCTTAAAACTTCCATAACTTTTTGAAAAATCAACAAATCAACATAATTTTTTTTTCCAAAACCTTAGATAATTACCTTTCATTTGATATCATTTTTTTGAAAATCTAACACTTAACCTGCTCATTGGGGGAGATTTAAAATAGCAACTTTTTTACAAAAACTAACTTTTTCAACTTAATTTTTGAAAATGTTCCGGAAATACTGCGTCCTTTAAACATATATCAAATTAAAGCTTATTTTATGTACTATAAAATGAAAAAAAAAAATTTGTCCCGACACTTTATCTTCTGCATGTAAACGGTTGCCGTAGTTAAAAAAACACTATTTTTGTGTTAAAATTTTCGATTTTCGATTTTTAATTTTCAACTTAAAAATGCTATAACTTTTCGAAAAATGCATGTATCAGCACAATTTTTTTTTTTCTAAATACATTATAAGTACATCTTCCATTTGACATACTTTTTATTAAAATTAGACAATTTCCCCTTATATAGGGGGGGTTCAAACTTTGAAACATTGTATAAAAAATAGAACTTTTTCAACTGAACTTTTGAAAATGTTCCGGAAATACTGCGTCCTTTAAACATATATAAAATTAAAGCTTATTTTATGTACTACAAAAATAAAAAAAAAAATTTGTCCCGACGACCTATCTTCTATACGCAAATGGCTACCATATTCAAAAATATGCTATTTTTGTATGAAAATTATGGGTTTTGTATTTTATTTTAATAGAAGTTGATGTTGCTTTTGCAATTATCCAACAATTTTTTAAAATTAAACACTATCTACAGATTTGCATCGAAGCGTTTCTTATGATAGTGATTTTAATCACTGTCAGATTAAATCTATACTGAACCCAACTATGCAATGTCTCCACTATGCCGCGACCCCACTGTGCTACCGTTTTTTTTTAGTTCAACTAATAATTTTATTAAATAATTTTTTTTTGTGTAGTTAAACAAATAATCATGTAAATTGAAATCTAACTATTTCAATATCTTAAAAATTAAATACTCATCTATAATGCGCATTTAAATTGTTCATAACTTATACATTTCTACGGTAAAAATGATAAACATAGCAGTTTTATATATTTTTTATTCTAAATTGACGTATGGTTCAGAGTATTGTGCAGTTGACAAGAAAGTAGAGCAGAGAATGAGTGTAGAAGAGATGAGAATGCTTAGATGAATGAGTGGAGTGACTAGAGAAGATAGGATAAGGAACGAACATATAAGAGGGAGTATAGGTGTAGCGTAAATAAGATGAGAGAAAATAGACTTAGATGGTTTGGTCATGTTATGAGGAGAGAGGAATCGGAAACGATAAGAACGGTTATAGAAATGAATGTTGAAGGAAGATGTAGAAGAAGACCAAAAAAGAGATGGAGGGATGTTATTGAATGCAATATAAGGACAGCTGATGTGAGTGTAGATGATGTGGGTGATCGTTTCAAGTGGAAGTTTAGGAAAAGGGTAGCCGTCCCTAAATAGTTGGGATTAGGTCGAGGAAAAAGAAGAGGAAATAACAATTAATTGAGTTCTGATGTTCAAACTATATAAAAAATTAATTATTAAAATCCTCTTAACATTTTCTATTTGTTGAATAGATATAGTAAAAAATTCAATTTTGCTTTTTTTTAAAACAATTTTACTAAATTTCAAAAACCGTGCGACACATGTTAACCTTGTCTTATTAGTTTTATATTTTGCACAAATAATTTTTATAAGCATCGAAAAAAATTCTTAAAAACCAAGATTGAAAAAAAAACTTTTTTATTTATAAAAAAAGATAATAATAGTTGTTTTTAAGATGTTTTTTTTGTATGTTTTAAACAAAATGCATATAAAAAGAATCGTAGAATGATCCATGGTATAACATCATACCCAATAGTGTGGTGATACCACAACAAATGTAAAAACATTTCTTATCTATCATTTCGCAGTTTTAATGATTTTTTTAATAACGTTATCCTTAACTACAATAAATATATGTTTTGGATTAAATTTAGGCTGTATGTTGTACAAATTGTGAAGCCACACATGTTTGGTAAGATTTGAAAACGTTTTTAAAAGTTCTTTGCAAATTGATTGGAAATGGCTTTAATTAAATACCATTTTTTGTTGGGTACAAAATTAACTTAAGAACAACTTGATAATACTCTCAACTATGTTAATGTGTACCACACTGAAATTAGGCAGAAATAATTATATTTCAGTCTCAAGATTTTCATTTTAAATATTATTTTTTTTAGTGAAAATGTAGCCTTACACATGATATACTTCAGAAAAATACTTATGTTTAGAAATAAATAAAATGGTAATACAGTTTACATCAAGTGCTTCATCAACAGGTATTGAATGAATATTTTCTTCTTATAGTATTGATAATGATAAAAAACAAGAAACAGTTTAGTTGCAGAAAAATTTTCTGAATTAATCTGTTTAAAAATTTGAACAATTTTAGTCATCGTTAAATATACTTAGTAATGTTGTTTGTTATTGTTATATATATATATATATATTGTTTTATTGATTTTAATAAAATTTACCTAATTTGTTTATTATATGCTTATTGAGTTAATAAGATTGTTATTTTAATTTTAAATTGTATTCAATTTTTTTATTTTGTATAATAATTTTATGTAAAATTTTAAAGTAAAGTTTTTTAACTTATATGAATATCTTATATTTTATTAATTATTATCAATATAATATGACATATTTCAAATAAATTGTAAAAGTAATTAGATGTTTTATATCTTTACTTGACAAATGTACTTAAAATTTTATTTCAGTTTCTAATTGTGTTGTTGACATACATAACAGAACTTTGCTTTGCTTTTTGTAAAAAAATATTTGATGGTAAAATTTAGAATTATCCAAGAGTGAAATGATGATGAGTTCTATGTTTTCCAATGGTTGAAAATCACATTTTGATTCAATTTTGTCTTAATTACATTAATAATGGTGTTTGGGAAAAACTGTCAAAATAAAGTAAAAGTGTACTTTTAAAATTCACTTATAAATTTTTGGATTGCATAGTTTTTCCCAAGCACTATTAATATGATATGTGAAATAATTTTTAGATGGAATATAAAACAATTGTTTTAAACGATTTAAATATAACGATATTTGATTAATTTAGATGGTTAAAATACGTTTTGTTAGTGGAATACAAAACAAAATGTTTTAAGCATCTCAAGCCTGTTGAAAACCATCCTTATCAATGTTATGAAATAATAAAAATAAATCAAATGTACTACTAGTCAATATTTAAAGTAGGATATAATTTAATTTTTTTTTAATTATAACTTAATATGAAATATATTTTAAATATGCAACTAATACCGGACATCGGAAAATTTTCATATTGGCTTATCTCTAATGAAAATAGTAGTTCTTGGCTTGAAAAAATAGTATTTTAATGATATTTCTTTCATAGGGTTACTTTGTGTTACAATATACGTATCGTTAAATTTATTTACGAATTATTTAATTTACAGACAAACTTAGTACTAATTATTTCATAATATCAATGATAAGACATAATAGTAAATTCTATTTTTAGTCATCAATAGAAATGTACGAAACTGACTATAAAATATATTATATGCCTAATCGATCGAGTACAGAAAAACGTAACTAGTTGAGAGATACCAAGTAGGAGACTCGAAAAAAATCATTTTATGGTGTTGGTACTCATTAAATTGAGCTGTGGATAAATATTGCTATACCATAATCACTTAGTAGCGTCTAAATTCGCCATATTTTATGTTTTATTCAGAAACCATTACAAAACCTTTAGAATTTGTACTTATTGGAGTTAAAACAATTAATCATTTATTTTTTTACAACCAAGACGTTGTTAAAACGTAATAGTAAGTTCTGCTTAGAAAAAAATTGATTTAACTAATAAATGTATTCTTACTAATTTGACTTAAAAATTAATAGATATTTCAAATTGAAAATATACTACTTGCATTGTCAAAATGGAGTTCAAATTCTCTATTGAAGAAATAGCTATTAAAGAAATATTAAAAATTGATCATAACTTATCAATTGATGGATGCCAGAAAAGCAACAAGTAAAATTAATCTTATTATGAACATGGCGTAGTCTTAAACTTATCAATTTATTAAAAACATAACTTCATTTTAATTTTAGATTGCAAAAAATGATTGGTGAAATTATTGATGGCATGGGATCTGCATCTGCTGTAGCACAAGAATTGAAGTCTCCTGTTACTACTACTGAAAAACTTGTTAAATCTGATCATATAGTTTATGTAATGACAGAACATCCTGAACAAAAGTATATATAACTACAAGCTTACATTAGTATCTGTTAAGTATTTGTATTACTTAAAAATAAAATTGATTACTTTTTTATTTAGAAAATTTTCAGTGGTAGGAATTTTGAAGATGGGATGGAAAAAGTTATTTCTTTATGATAAAACTGGATCTCGTTCTGAAGCTATGGTGTATTGCTTATTAGACTTTTACATTCATGAAACACGACAGCGTAAAGGTTATGGGAAACGTCTTTTTGAGTTTATGTTAAAAGTATGTTAGCTATCCAAATGTTATTATAGTCAACTATATGATTATAGAGTTTTCATTGTAGAAAAAAGATATAAATAATTAATGAAAACTCAATTTTAGGACACTGGATTGATGGCCAAGCATTTAGCAATTGATAAACCTACTAAAAAACTAATGCAATTTATGTGGAAACATTATAAGTTATCCAAGTTGGTAAATCAAGGAAACAATTTTGTTATTTTTGAAGAATTTTTTGACAATCAAGGTTAAAAACTGAAACATTTAAAATATTCTTCCTTTTTTTAGTAGAAATTTTCTTAAATCTTCTAATAAACATTTTGTTTTTAATAGATGAAAAAGATTGTAAAAATAATTTAAGTCGGTAAGTTTACATTTATTTATTGGGCTATTGGAATAATATTATTTATATTATATAATAATAAAATTTTTTTTTTTTTTAAATTTTATAAATTGAATTTAAAATTGAAAAAATTATTAAATGTAAATATAAGTATTAAATTTAATTAGTTTTTATTAATGTTAATTTTACAGGGCTTCAGCATATCAACGACAACCTATGTTTGGGAGACATGGAGCACATAAACATCACGATTCAATGGGAGAAGTAAAAGCTCAGAACTCTAGTTAATTTCATTGTTAATAATAAATTTTAATATTTAGATAATCCAAGGAGACGGTAATGCAGCAAGTATGAAATACAAATACTGTGAAAATCCTGATATGTAAGTAACTATAACCTTATCTTATGCTAGAAATATTTTTAATAATGTTTTTATAACTTGAAATTTATAAAATTATGAGGCATAATAATTCTTAAAATTTGTTGGTTATTTAATGTTGTTATAAATTTCTATTTGATCCTAATATATGAAAAAATCTAAATATACTATTTTGTGTTTTGCTAGGGATAAAATAAATTAAATTCCTTAAACTAAAATATTTTATTTTATTTTTGTAAATTTTAACAGGTAAAATTTCTATTTACACATTAAAAAAACCTTAACAATTTTTTAAAATTTTAAATTCATAGTTAAATATAATTATTAGTTAATGATATTTAAATGTGAATCATTGGTTTATTTGTATTTTAGTGTTAGTAATCAATTCAGTGAAGCCAATCCATTCCCAGAAAAAGCGAGTACTTTTAAAATTAATAAAGATGGAGTATCAGTAAAAAGAGATCTAAAATTTCATCATAATTCTTTATGGTAATTTATTTATTAGTAATTTTCTTGTGAATGATTTTTTAATTATTTATTAATTTAATGACATATTTTAATCATTAAAAAATTTTATGAAATATTTTATTTTTACTTATATTTTAGTGATAAATAGTAACATTTAACTTTTCTGTGTTGAATAAAATAAACATGTTTCTTACACAATCATGTTGTTGTTTTATATTTTTATTCTGCGATCGAGAGTGAAAAAAAAATTATTTATTTTTAAATTAAAAAAAGAATGCAATATTTAAAACAATTTTTGAATCAATATCAGAGTTCCACTTTTGATTTAAGATGTAAAATATTTCATTGTGTTATATACTTCAATATATTTCATACTTAGTATAAATAAGCAATTGATGGACCTGACTTGATAACTATTGTTTTTCAAAAATCTACATGTTGATAGAATATTTTATAACAAAAACTACTTTATGTACAATTACAACAAACGGATATGTCTGATAATTAGTTATTTAGTTCTAATAATTTTGGGCAAGTTCTATTTTACTGATCTTAAATGTAAAATAAATTTACTTCTTGTTTTTCCTGAAAATTTCCAGGAAAAGTGCAGTTGTTAAATTATTGTAGTAACCCTCCCTTTAATAGTTACTTCACAAACAAATATATAATTATTTTATAATATGTATTCATTATTACTTCTTAGTGTTTTTTTTTTCTATAAAAAAAAGGTCTATGGTAGACACATAATAAAACAAAAATAACTAAAAATATCAATAATAATAACAGATCTTCTAGAGTCCTGGTCAGAGTATCCAAAGTCAACACATCCTTTAAATTCATTGTACAGCTAAAAAGGGCAACTTCTAGGTCCATCTGCATAGTCTAATGATAAAGAGGAAAACTGAATTATGATTCTTCAGAAGTTACCACTTATAAATTTGATTTGATAAACAATACTTAACGTCTTAAACACTTTGACTTACTATATTAATAAAAATAATGAAAGAAACTTCATAAAAACAGTTACAAATATAAGTATAATATAGTAATGAGATAAAATCTTTGCCTAAAGTAAAACATATATCTTAGGTACTTAATTTCCGAGCGTATTAAAAAAATTGAGTTAAGTTTCAACAGGTAAATATATTTTCCATTAAGTAAAACATATATTAAGTATGCAATCATACAATAAAAAAATAATAAAATCTAAAAAAATGTGTAAACTTTTTAATAACCCTTATTCAATAAAATAATTAATAAATTATACAATAATATATTGAGTTCAACAATTATTTTTTAAGTATTTGGTAATAATATAAAAATTAAAATATATATTTAAATAATCTCAAAACTTATTTATGGACAAAAAAAATAATTCTGTCTCTATTAGATAATGAAAACTACATAACAATTTTGAATAATTAAGAAACTAATATAAAACAAAGAAATAATTGATTAACATTTTAATTATTTATAATCTAAGCCATCCATACTATCCATAATTTGAATAGTTTCATAACATAAATCACAAAAATGTGTTAATTTATCACAATTAATATTTTTAGTTATATTGAATGATAAATCAAATGGGTCTTGTATTGCTAAACCCATAGATTTATTAAAACTAATGGTAATTTTATTATTGAAAGAGTTTAACTTTGTGCGTTGTACATAATTTATTTCTGGTAGTCTTATGAATTTTGAAAAAAATTGCTTTTTGTTCATACATTTCCCAGTTAAAGTGCACAATACTTGTGATTTTAGTTTTTTTTCATCACTGTAGTATAGAAAAAAACCATACAAAAGACTATATTTTGAGAAGCTTCCCATTTGAAATGTTTTTTGCGAACTATTGAATGAGCAATCCCATCCTTAAATAATAACCAATACTTTTTATTTATAATAATTATACTAATCTACAAGAAATTATAATTAGTGTATTTAAATATTATTATTTTGTGTATTTAATTTTATATCACGTTTTAAAAGATGTTTTTTGAAAATTCATTATTATAAGTAATTTTTGGTTATATGACGGCATCAGGCACAGACTGTTAGAGTGAGTTAATGGCAACTTCCAACTAAACCCCTTAAAAATATTAAATCAGGGGATGATACAACAAATAAAAACAGACAATAATACAAGAGACAAGCAATTGGATAGTTTTCAAGATATTAAAGGAAGCTTTCTAAAAACTTAACCAATGGGTCTCGGTCTACCCATAGACGACTCACTAAAACAATGAAAATTCCACTAATCTTTATTTTTAAACATGTAAAAAAATTAAGTATTTATACAAAAGATATTTATTATTTTTAAATAATAAAAGTGAAAAAGAATACTTTTCAAATTTTTTGTTAACAAAATTATAAAATAGAATATAAAGAAACTTTTTACATCAGTCAAAAGTTATAAAAGTTTTGAATTTTATTATGACAATAATTACTTTACCTTCAATAATGACTCTCTTCTTTTTTGAAACCATTGTCATTAATTCTATTAAAGGTGGAACTAAATTCACTGTCATTAAATAAAATAGTACTAGCCACACAAGTGCATAATTTGTAAATTGTTTTTGATGTTTTAAGTTGTTTTGTACAGCCCAATGTTTAACAATTAAACATACAATCCATCGAACATTTTTGTGAATAGACAAATAGCAACTATGTAAAATTAAAGTACTGAAAACTTTACAAGTTAATTTATTTAGAATTTTAGAAATAAGAAATATTTACTCAATAAGTTTTGTATTATGAGTACTTAAACCACTTTTAAATGATATATCACAATTTAATTTAGTTGGAATATGATAAAATTTTACAATAGGAACACGAGCATCACAAATTTTTTCAATATTTTTGAAAACTGTTTTATATTTTGTTAGCTCATTGGCAAATTTTTCAACAAAAAATACTTGTTTATCACAATCCTCCGATATGCTTCCATTAAATGTATTACCTAAACAAAAGGTACAAATAACTTTTTATGTAAATAAAAAAATAATAAAGTTCTTTCATTTTAAATTATTACCAATATCTAAAAATAAATCAACATCACTATTTTCCATAGCTAGACCATAGATACGTGATCCAAATACATAAAGTTCAATGAAGTCAGGAAATAAATTAACTCCAATTTTACGAACTGAAGCACATATCTTATTTAATTTCTCAATTTCAGTTAAATCATATTTTGTCTTTTCCATAGAATCCAGCAAATTACATATTAATATACATAGTTTTCCCCAATCAGAAAATGATTGTTTAGTTTCAAGTGATAATTTGTTTTCTATTAAAAAAAAAAATCAAATTACTATTCTAAATCGCACAGTAATATCAGTTTTTAGAATGTTTTAAAAATTTATAGAATGTAAGGATTATAAGTTATAATTTTACAAAATTGAGCTAAATATAATAAGTCAATGGAAAAACTTACTTCTTCCTAACAAATAAAAGTTGAAGAAAAAAAACATTAGTTTAATAAATATATTTAAGTTCATTAGGAAATAATTATTTTAAAATTCACTACCTGTATTTGGCTGGAAAGTTTGTATTTTTATATTAAAATGTTTTTCTAATTGATTTTGATCTTTTAAAACTGATTCTACATGGTCTCTGCAATATATTTTATATATAATTAACTGAAAAAGCTGACTCAAATTTGTTTATTTTTAGAATATTATAATTCAAATTACTTACAAATTATTTAAAAGTATTATAAAAGAATTCTTCTTATTTGATATCTCTTTAAAATCACCATAATTATCATTTATTGCTTTTTTTAAAACTAAGTTATCATTACCTTTGAATCTACCATTGTTACCTAAAATAACAAACATTTTTTAATTAGTTTATTTTTATTAACATACAAAATGATAGATTTTGGGTAAAACACTAATATTCTTAGAAACTATAGAAAAATCAATTTGAGGTTTTTAATACCTAAATGATTGTAAAGTCATTTTATTTAACATTATAATATTGTAGCTTATTAAACTAAATAATTTTTCTCTCAACACAAATTTTTAATTTACATTAGTTTTTGAAAAAAAAAGTATCTTATCCAAAATTGATAACTTGTATAGCACAAGAAAAATACTATTTGAAAAAAAAATAGTTATAGGTGTTTTAAAAATTCAAGTTATAATGGGTTAGCCTTGATTTCAAAGTATTATAAAGTAAAAATATATATAAATGTATTTTTATTAACTGAAATATTCTTACTCATAACTTCTAGATAAATATTTCTATTTTCCATATACTTCTTGGGTTTGATATTAGTATCAATAACCTCAATATGTTGTGCTTGAGTAAAGTCTTTTCTATCAGGAAGTTTGGGATTGCCATTTAATTTGAATTTGGCTTGCTCTTTTTTTAAATATTCCATAAAATCTATCATGACTTTATGTTCTGTTGTCTCTAAATGAGTTTTTAAACTTACAGACTTACTTATTTGATATATATGACAAACTGAACAATAAAATATAATTGGGTTTTTTGTTTTACAATGCTTAGAAGTGTCATGTTTAATCCAACTAATTTCATCTTTCAATATAATATCACATGTAGCACAATAAAAGCATTTAGACAAATTAAAAATATTTGTATCAAGTGAAATTGAATTAAAGGATTCTAAATTTGATCTTAAGAAATTGTTTAAACTAGATTTAAATTGCTCTTTAGAAAGTCTATTAATTAGTTCATTTGCAATATTACTAGTTCTTGGTTGTGTTTCACAATGTACTAAGTTATTATTGTCAATTATCTGATTACTTAAGGCAGTTTCAATTTCATTAAATACTTGATTCGTTTGTGTAGTATTATCTTTTAAGGTACTGAGCGATGCTGAGCATTTTATATGATTTATATCAGATGTTCTTCTTTTAGATAGATTTAAAAGCCCAACAGAATTTTCCATTAATTTAATATCTGTTGTTATATTTGGTTTGTAATATTTTAGTATAATATGTTCACTATAATAATTATGGTCACTATAATCAGATTTTGTTTTAAATTGTATTAAACAAGTAGAGCAGTAATAGGTTAGATCACATGTTCCATGTTCACAATCAAGAGTTTTATCATTTAGACAAATTCCACAGTAAAAAATCTTTTGATTGTAATTATTATTATTATGTTTTAAATAAATTAATCTCATGACTTTAGATAAAAATCCAAAACATCCTTTCTGTACATGGTTATTGATGAAACTTTCTGTGCCATAGAGAACAAATTTATTAATCTTACAGTAATAGGAGTATATTAATTGTTCTTTTTTCATAATTTTATAGACGATTGTATTTTTTAAATGATTAAAACTTGTTACATGTTTTATCCACACATCATTAACTATTTGATTATTAGTATTATTCTGTTCATTTTTAAAAGAAAACTTACACACCTCACATAGAATTAATTCTAAATTATTATCAAATGAAACTTCTTTAGAAGCAATACAATTTTTATGATGCTTAAGCATATTTTTATTCTTCTTGTACATTATTTTATGACAAATTATGCATTGAGCTTGTTTTAAAAGTATGCTTTTTTCAAAATACTTTGATATATAATTAGTAAACATTTTTAATGAAGTATTTTGGTTAATAGATCTATTACCTCGAATGTACCAAAGCATTATATGTTCGTATGAAGCTGTGTGTGCAAAATACAATCCTTTATTTGGCTCATAAAATGTTATTTGACAAATATTGCATGTACTGCATGATTCATTTTTGATTATTTTACTATTTTTATAAATATGTTCATTTTCTTTAGTATTAGAATAATAATTCAAATCTACTTTGTTTAATGAACAATCTGTACTATAACTTCTAAAATACTGTTGTGAGTGAAAGTCTTTGAAAACATCAGCCATTAGTAATGATAAAATTGAAAGTTTTATAGGTCTGCAATTGTGTTGCAGAATAGAAACAGTTGAACCGAATAGAAATGTTTTGCATGAATCACAGTTATAAGAATAGCTTATTGAAGAACTAGACTTTTTGTAATGCTCTGGTGTTATAAAATGTAGCTTCCATTTAATAATATGTTTAGTTTTAAAAATGCATGATAAACACTTGAAAATTTTGAAACCAGAAATATTTTCTTCTCCAATTAATTCACCATTACATTTCGATAAATGAAAAAATACTTGATTTATTGAAGGTATACACATAACATGGCACATCTTACATTGAGCTTTATTAGAACTTATACTAAAATATTTCTGAATTGTTAAAGGCAATAAGTTGATATCATACAGTTCTAAATTATCAGAAAGTGGTTCATATAATTTTGAAGAAATAGAAGCCATAATTTTAGGCTAAAAAAAAAACAAAATTATTAATAAAATAAAGTCTTAGTTAATTCAAATAGATTTTAATTATAAAAAAAAATAGAAAAGTAAAAAAATTTTGCTAAACAAAAAGTACTTGATATGATTAATAAATATTCCAGTTTTTTTTTTTGTTAATCATAACTATCTTGAACTTTTTTCTGATAAAATATCAACTATTTGATCAATTGAGATAATGCCATGAGAAAGTCTCTTGTCACAAAAACCAAATTTTAAATATGAAGGAAAAAATATGACATGCATCTTATTATTTTTACATAATTATTATTCTATACATAAATTTCATTTATTATTTCACCAGAATATAAGGATATAAATTAGTAAAACTTCTTAATAAAATAAAAAAATATATTATTAATACTATGTCAATTTCAACTAGGCAAGTGATCTGAAGAATTTGATATTGTGTAAATATAATGATTATCATCAAATAATTTTTCCAGGTATTATATACCACCATCAATTAACATTTTATTAACACTACCTCTACATTTTTATTATAAATTAAATAATTGATGCATTTAGTACAGCAAACCAATTCAATTTTTAGAAAAAAATTTTTTTTTAATTTTTCAGTATGATATTTTTTTTGTATTTTAATAATAATATATTTTATAATTAGGTTACTTACAGACATATTTAATCAAAAAAAAACTTTTTACTATTAATATGTGTAATATTTATATTTAATTATAATTTAGACATAAGAAGTAATATACAAAATTTAGATTCATGATTTTTACATAATGTAAAATCAAATCAGTTGCAATACTTACTCAGAAATCAAATTATAACTTCTATAAAATTCATGAAATTTAGAAACTAAAAAAAATGTATTTAATTCTATTAATAGTATTTTTACTATTCATAATATTAGAATAAATTAAATATGTAACTTGATTAATGAATTTTTTTAATTGAATTAACCATTTCAAGATAATTTTCAATTATGTTTGTAGTTACTGTATATGAAGTTAATATAATGTATAGTCATTTATTTTATTATAGTTAAACAATATTGTTTAATTATTATTCGTACAGCTTTTTATTCATAACTCTACGCACACAAATCTATCACCCCCATACAGAAAATAAGTATTGGATTAAAGGAATTTTAACAACATACAAGTTCTTATCTTTATCGATATACAATTAAGTGACAACCACTTAGCTTAGCACATCAAGACAACTGCAATTGAAATATGGGAGGGGAATGGCGCAATGTTTAAATTTTTTATGACAAATTAATTTAATAATGGTTGGTTAAAGATAGTCCAACTGTAGGACTGTCTTTCTAAGTATTCAAATGAAAAGTAATTAAATTAAATACATTTGCTAATTGCTTTAATATAAATATTAAATTTAAAAAAAAAAAAAATGGTCGAGTACATTATAACAGATGTATGTTAATGTATGGTAATAATAGTAAACGTTATTTTCGTATGTTCGCAACCTAACATCTAGCTATATTAAATTGCACATACACTTTATGTTAGTTTACTGATTAGACTGATTAACATACATGTCTGACATGTAGGAGATAAATATTTATACGATATCTGGTAAAGACTTATTAATCAAATAAGTATGGAATAGATTTGAAAAGATGATTTGTATAACAATAGAGCTTGTAGAATCACTAAGTTCTTTCAAAAAATCAGAAAACAATAAGTGATTTAATATATTTTTAAGATAATTATCCTATACATTTTTTATAAAATTATAATTTTACAAAATGTACATTTTTCACAGGAGCACTTCAGAAATATAGAAAAGAATAATACTCATTGGAGACAAACGTTAAGGAATAATTGTTTAAATAGGAATGTCTATAAAAAAAGTTGGGTAAAAATAGACTGTAGTAAATCAAGTTTCTAAGGAAAATATAACAAATATTTAAAATAAATTTTTTTCATTAATTTTACAACTAATATTAAAATTTGATATAGATCTTCAACAATTTAATAAATAAATTGTCTTATCGCATAACACACCAGAAGCTTCTCTCCTGTTAAGACCTGTCTCTTGTATCTTCGTCTATACTACCGTTCTTTTGCACAATTGATCCTAAATACTTAAATATCTATATCTCGATGTATAACGATTAATCAAATATTTTCAAATTTCGTTTTATTATGAAGAAATAAGTTTTTTTTTTGTTAGAAGGCTTAATTATTATATAGAGGTTCATTATGTAAGTTTCCTTACATACTGCACGCTTTATATAAGTTGCTATCTATCTTCTAATTCTGAAATGTCTTTTTCTAATTCTCTCAATACCTTACTTTTCATGTTTTATGAATAATAGGAATAACAACAATGTCATAATAATAAAAAACCTAATCTATGAATAGAATTTAGTATCAATAAATACTATTTTTCGTCTTATCTCAATTCTATATTTCATAATATATTTTAATACGAATAATGTCAACAAGATAATCATGAACTGTTTTTGATCTAATATCAAATAATATATATTTTATAACAAAGTGACCAAAATTTTAACAGATATTTATAAAAATGTTTTTTGATTATTGCGATATTTAAAAAAAATGATGAAAAACGACAAATAATCGATGTGGTTGACTAATCTAATAATTAAAAAAAAAAATAATATAAGAGTTCAATTTTAGCTTCGATGCGAAGCTGAGAAGGTATTGGTTTTACTAAGAAGCGTTTTTTTTTTTTTTTTTT